CGGCGTATACTGCCACCCGAAGTCCCCGCTGGAAGTCCCCAGAATTGGGGAAAATCGCCAGAACACCGACACCTCCTCATCACTCCACCGATCCCATGTTTTTTTTTGTGTTGCCATAAGTTATTCTCTCTCCGTTGGTGCGCGGGGCTAATGCTAATAATGCTAATGCCACAAATACAATGGCGGCTTCACAAAACTTTTCAGAGTTTTACGGGGCGTGGTTTGCAATTCGCCCAGCCAATCAGAAGTGGGGCACTTTTCCCCCCAGGATAGTACCACCTCTCTAGCAGGCACTAAAAATGGGGGTAAAAGTTCCCGGCACTAAGTACTCTTTTTGGTGTGAACGCAACATAAGGGGTACTAACGGAACTAAAGGGGAAAAGTACTCCGATGTGAACGCGGCTATTGTGTTCTTATTAACCAAATAACTCTCAGAGGGGCGTGGGGAGTGGCTCCTTATTTTCATCTAAAGTAACAGACAGAGAATCAGCACTTTTGAAACAGGGCTGAAACAGAGGGGATTATGGGATGCTGCAAGGATCTGTTTGGTGTTTGGAGTCAAACACTTCAGAGACATGTTTTGTTTATATCTGAGACCTATAATATATTGATCAAAAACAGTATAATAGGGGACCTTTAAATCCCAGTCACAATTCCTAGAACAGATTCTCAGATGCTTGATCACGGCTGGTCTCTGGATCAGACATTTCTCAGGTTTTTCATATTTCTGCAGGTGTTTCACAGAGGTCAAAGAGGTCAGTGCTGAGGAGTTGGAGAAGAAGGAAGGAGAGCAGGAGCAGCCGGAGTACCTACACCTGCATCATATGGTGGTCAGGAGGATCGGGGAAATCTGCAGAATAGTCAATCAGGTACATCATCACAGACATTACTACAAATGTTCTAGAAAATCATACAGATAAAGTAACAATGCCATTTTGTGACATTATTAAAAGGTACAATTGAAAGGTTAGAACTTAACATATGGTGGAAGATTTGCATGCTTTTCTTTGAAATGCCACATCATCATCAGGCTATCTGAAAATGGCCCAGGGGCACACACAGATTTGTGTTCATCCTTTTCAAATTCATTGTATGGAATATGTAACTTTACAAGTCTAATTGAGATCTACAAAAACATTTTGTATCCACAAATAAATACTTTCAATTAGTCCGTTTTTAATTTACTTTTTTACTGAAAAGAAAACTAGATTCTGGATAGATGTATGCTTTATTTTTAAGAATTTGTTTGTATATTTCCCCCCTAATATAGTTTCAGATAAAAAATATTTTTTGCATTTTGGAAGGTTTTTTACACTTACAGAATTCACTCTGGTTGTCAAACTTTTCAAACAAATACTATTGAGACAAACCTACCTCCATATTCAATTATGTTTTGTGTGTGTGTGTGTGTGTGTGTGTGTGTGTGTGTGTGTGTGTGTGTGTGTGTGTGTGTGTGTGTGTGTGTGTGTACGTCTGTGTGTGTGTGTAGCGCATGCTGCTGCAGGACCTTCACGACAGCCATGTGTGTAACTCTCTGCTGGTGGCTGAGAGTGAGGAGGACATCTGGAAGAACGAGTCTCTGTTCAGGCAGAGGCTTAACAACTCTGATGGTAAAACCACAAGTCATATGGGTGAATCGACCCTTTAATTTCAAGTCTTTAAACTCTTATATGTATATGTTCTTGTGTTAAATGTCACCACACAGATTACAACACAGAGGAGAGCTACCAGGCCAGAGACTACCTGGCAGCCACCATGCAGTTCATCCCGGGACATTTTGCCTGTGACGTGGTGTGGAGCACCGTCATCCAAATCCACCCACGCCTCAAGATTGGACCCAACATGGGGGTGTCCAGGGGTGAGTGGCACATATGAGAAAAAACTCATAATTTTACTGGTTGACACCAACTATGACTCTTCAAATCTGTTCAGGTTTTTCACAAACAAATAAAATTACAAGTATAAAAAAAGAAAATTCCTTTCAAAATGTTGCAAGTAGTTCATGTTTTATACCGAAACATTTACAAGCTACAAAACACCCAACATTTGCCTAAAAACTAATATTAATCCAACCCTAACTACCAAATGGTCCCAAAGCATTCATTTGTATCAGTCTTAACATTGGCTTAAATTAGATATGATATAAGCGCTGCATTTCCCCCTTTTTTTCAAACAGACAGATACTCTATATATAAAATGCGCATTTCCTGCCCGGTTTTACAATTATATATTTAAAGGAAATTAATGAAAATGTTGCATTTATTGTATAGAAAGTGCTCCAAAAGAGATAATAACATATACCACATACTTAGGGTTCAGTCTATTGTAATTATACAAGAAGACAACCATCAATATTGTCACATGGAATCCATCCTAAATTATTTATTTACTTTTGATCAACATCTATAAGCTTATCTCTTGCAATCAGTGGCGGCTCCAGAGTATTTTAGTTGGTTAATCTATGGTAGGGCTAACCCATGCAGTGGTGGGGCTCAAGTCAGTATTTGCAATGTAATTACATACACGCTCACCTTGACAGTGAAACGCCACGCGTGAGGTTTAGATTATTTCCCTGTCTCAGTCCAAATTGAACTGTAGTAAATAAAAAAGGCGACTTGGAGCCAATCCTGCAATTTCCTCTCAAGTGAAAGAGTTGACATACTGAAAACCCAACCCCTGCAGGGGGGTCTGGGGGGATTCTACCCCAGGAGATTTTTTAAAATACTAACATAAAATACACATTCTGGTATTATATTGAGAAGAAAAATAAATAAATGTATTACTACGCGACATATGTTTTTTGTTGTTCTGAAAGCTGAACCTGCTGCTCCTCACAGAGAGAAGAGGGAAGATGATGTGTGAATTACTTTACATTGTGGATAAGGGTGGATAGCCCCCATTGTTCTGTGTGTCAACATGAAAGACAGCCCACACACCTATCAATCATCAAACCGTGTGGTCTTATTTCATTACGTGTTGATTTCTATCAACACGTAATTTTGTATCGATGTATTGAGATGTACTACCGCAAAAGTATTCTCCGTCGGGACTTCCTGCAACAACACCACGCCGTTATCTTGATTCTGATTGGCCAGAAGACATTATCAAAGATGTTCTATTGAGAAGACGATCACTACGTGACAAAAGTTTTCA